TTGTTATCGAAATATTCAAAGTTTTTCAAAGAAGGAAATGTAAACAAATAGAGGAGGCATTAGCCTTCAGGGAATAATATTTTTAAGGAAAGTGAATAGACTTTGTTATCAAAAAATAAAAAATTTTTTGAGAACATCTGTTTTTTGGGTTGGCAAGGGGATTAGTGAAAAGAGTATTAGTATTTTTGGATTTCTAAATTGGGACTCACTTGTAATAAAGAATGTAAACCATTTTTTTTGATCAAAATTATTATATATAGAAATTTTAAATAAAATAAATATAATAAGGTGAGTTTTTTTTAATTTTACTCAATTATTAAAGTTTAAAGAAAAAAATATTATTAATAAAACTATATAATTTTTTTTTTTATATCTAATAAGGCCATATAGCCAAGTTTATTTGCATTCATTGCTGGGATTTATCCAAGGTACAATTTGAATTTACCCAAGGTACAAAAAATAGATACATATAGTACCGGTCGTAATTATACTAAAGGTTAACTTATTAAATATATACAGCATACCCATCAATGGCCACTGGCCTCTAGATGTGATTAAGGAAAATGAAAAAAGTTGCTCTATCTTGATCCATGCTCATTGTGGATCTCAATATTATCGCCAGCTCTTCATCAAGACTATTCACCCCAACTTAACTTCTGTGGTTCTAAGGTATAAAAATTTTTTATATTTTTAAGAAGATAAAAGGGAAGGGTAAAGGGGAAAGAGAAAAGTTTGTGCTGATAATATAAAAACCCCACCAAAACCAATCACTAGTCTAATGAGAGCCTTCTTTGATCTTGAGGAGAAAAGAAACCAGCACAAGAGGGGAGGGGGACTTCCAAATGCTTCTTAATAAGAGAACACCTCGACACCTTGTTTTTTCGCTTTATTCAATTACATTATCGGTTATAATGTAGTATGATGCGGGGCACGTGTGGGTACGTGTCTTGTTTACATTTCTTTTACTTGTTGATCAACCAGTCCAAGATTTCAGCCAATCACCATCCGGAGTTTTCGGTGTAACAAAAAATTCAGGGTCAAACTGAGGTAGGCAAAATTCCCCAGAAAAAACCAAGAAAAATTGAACACGCTCGAAAGTGCTGCCTACAGACATGTATGAATGGTGGAAAAGGTTCATACACCTGTCCAACAGATTCCTATCAGCTTATCCACCTGCCTGGCCAAGAAGTTTACTTACGGTGGACCCATCTTGGGAGTGTATTTACTAATAGGCCCAACTAGCTTATCCACCCGCCTCCAGACAAAGGTGTTTGCTTATGGTGGACCCAAGGTTCTTATGATTTATAAAAATCATTATATAAGAAATTTTAAAAATATAAAACTTATATATTTTATATTTTCTAATCTAAAAAATACAAGTAATTATTTAAAAATAATTACAAACTTATTGAAATTTTCAGAAATTAAATCATATTTAAAAGATAATATTATATTTGTTTCAATGGATTATCCTAAACAATTAAATATTTAAAAATTAATTGTTCAAAAAATTTTAAATTCTAATAATTTAAATATTTCAAATAATATTATTTATTTTATTCCTATACTTGAATTATTATATGTTTTATTAAATATTCATAAAATATGTATAATTAAATTTCATCTTTTTTTTAATGAATTATATAAAAATATTTTTAATAAAAATAAAATTAGTTAAAAAAACCTAAATCATAGCAAATAAATTTATTACTTTATATTACTTATATAGAATAGATTAAAATTAAAATCCAAGTTTTTAAAATTTTTAAAAATTTTAAAAATAAGAGATTTTGTTTAATTTTAGATCTTTTGGATAATATAATATCTTCAACTTTAAATATTTATACAAATTTATTTCAATATAACTATTTTAAATATTATTATAAAACAATATTTTGATTATAGATGTTTATAAAAAGATATAATCAAAAAAATTATAATAAAATAATATTATTTTTTTATTAAATATTTTTTAATAGAATAAATAAAAATATCTAATAATAAATATATTTTTAAAATATCTTAATTTAATTGATGAATATCTAGTAGAAAAATTTTTATAGTCTTGTTTATAGAAATCCCACTTCAAAATTAATAAATTCAAAAACTCTTAGACAATATAATATTTTATAGATTATAAAAAACATGAAAATAAATTTATTGAATATTTTATAAAAATTAAAAAATATTTACTTTCTAAATATTAATTAAATTTATTATTTACTTTAATAAATATTTTTTTTTTAATTTTTTTAAAAATTGAATTTAAAATTGAAAGAAATAGTAAATAAACTAAAGTTTATATTTTTTCAATTGAAAAAAATTTTGTTAAAGAAATTCTTTCATTAGTATATTATATTAAATATATTTCAAGTAATAAAAAATCTTGTGATTTATAATTTTATAATAATATGAATTCAAATATAAAAGTTTTAATATATAGATATGTATATTATTTTAAATATTTTGTTAATATATTAGATTCTAATTGCAATTATTGTTTTTATTATTATATAACATCAATTAAAATTTATTAAATTCTTTTAATTCTAGATTAATTGTTAAAGAAAATAATTATGAAAATAATAAAAATAATAAAATTGATGATATTATTATTAATATTAAAGAAATTAATAATAATGAAATATTTGACAACATTAATTTAAATGAAAATGATTTTGATATTAAATTAATAACAGCTATTAATGATTTTGATATTAAATTAATAACAGCTATTAATAATTTTAATTTATTGATAAATGAAGATTTATCATTATCAAATTTAAAAGACTTACTATTGATTTTTCAAAAAATACAAATAAAAAAAATAATAAAATATCATATACTTCTAACAAAAAAAAAAGAAATTCATATCTTACTAATTCTATTAAATAATAATAATAATAATATATATATACTATTATTTTCATTATATATTATTTAAATAAATCAATCCAAAATAGACTCTTTCTGCTGATCCCTTTGCCAACCCAAAAAACAGATGTTCTTAAAAATAATTTTTATTTTTGATAATAAAGTCTATACACTCTCCTTAAAAACATTACTTCCTGAAGGCAGGTGCCTCCCCCACTTGTTTACTCTTCCTTCTTCGAAAAACTTTGGATATTTTAGTGACAAAATAAACAAAACTTTATCCATTTGGTCTATAACAAGAACACCTTACTGGAAAAAAGAAACCTATAGAAAAATATCCTCTACTATTTCTCCTTAGGTTCAGAACTTTAGAGAAGTGAATCACTAATGAATGCATTTCCCAAGATCCATAAGAACCTTGAGTTCACTGTAAGCAAACATCTTGAGCTGAGGCGAGTGGATAAGCTAGTTGGGTCTATCAGTGAATACACTTCCAAGTAATATTGGATCTACTGTAAATAAACTCCTTGGTCAGACAGGTGGATAAGCTGATAGGAGTCTGCTGTCCAGGTATATGAACCTTTCCATCATTTATACATATCTATAGGTAATACTTCTGAGTGTGTTCAATTTTTCTTGATTTTTTTGAAGAATTTTGCCTATCTCAGTTTGATCCTAAATTTTTTGTTATACTGAAAACTCCGGATGGTGATTGACTGAAATCTTGGATTGGTTGATCAACAAGTAAAAGAAATATAAACAAGACATATACCTACACATGCCCTGCGTCATACTACATTATAACCAATGATATAATTGGATGAAGCGAAAGAGCAAGGTATCGAGGTGTTCTCTTGTTAAGAAGTATTTGAAAGCCTTCCCCCTCTTTTCTTATATTAGTTTTTTTTCTTCTCAAGATCAAAGAAGGTTCTCATTAGGCTAGTGATTGGTTTTGGTGGAGTTTTTATTTTATCAGTGCAAACTTTTCTTCCTTTTCTTTATTCTTTTCCTTTACCTTCTTTAAAAAATAAAAATTTTTATACCTTAGGATCACAGAAGTTAAGTTGGGGTGAACAGTCTTAAGTGAAGGGCTGGCGATAATATGGAGATTCACAAGGAACAGTGAATCAAAATAGAGCAACTTTATTTATTCTCCTTAATCATATTTAGAGGCCAGTGGCTGTTGACAGATATACTATATAATGAAAGAAGTTTAATCCTTAGTATAGATTTGTTAGACATTTTGTATCTATCCATTTGTACTTCAGATCAATCTGACATATTAGTTTGAATAAACTTAAAATACAGTATATGGCCTGATTAGGTGTAAAAAAAAAAAAAAAAAAAAAATTATATATTATTTAAATATTATTATTGTTATTTTACAATTTATTTTTTTATGTATAATTTATTTATTTAATAAAAAATTTTTTAAAACATATTAGTTTTTTATTAAAATATTTTTATTTAATAAAACTTATTCAATTTATCACAAAACTAACTTATAAAAACATTAAATATAATTAACTATTTATTTATACTTTATTATGCAAAAAATTAATTTAAATTATATTTCGCGAAATTCGTTACATGTCGATCACTATTGTCGATCACGTGAATAATACATAATTCGGAAATTTCACTCGAAAGCACGCTGCACGAGTGACGCACGGGGAGCATTTTTCTGCACCCCAAAATAGTAGCTTAAACTCTGCTTGTTTTGAAACGCGTTGGGAATCTAGACTTCCGTATTTCGAAAACAATGAGACATGGAAATTAATAGATTTTTTACGGTGGAGCATAACGTTTGCAGAAGATTTCAGTGATAAAAAAGACGAACACCTATTATATAAGGTTTGCTTGGAGAAGCTTTGTCTAAAACCACAATTACTTAAGTCTCGTGATGGTGAACTTGTTCAACAGTTGGTCTCATATTGTTTGAAGTCATTTGAGGTTTTATTTTTTTATTTTATTTTGTTTTATTTTGTTTTATTTTGTTTATTCCGGGATTGTACCAAATGCTAGAATGAGTCCGAATCTTCTCTGGATGAGTCCGGAGAATGCATTTTGTTATATTCCCGTCACTAATTGCCGAAAGTGCTAGGATGAGTCTGAATTCCTGAGAGATGAGTCTTTTGGGGCACTTTTTACTATTGGATGAGTCTGATGGTATCCCAGCAATCCACTTTTCTTTTTCTACACATATAGAAGGATACGAAGTTGCCTGAAGTAAAGAAGTTCTGGGAAAGCAGTACTACTGTTATGGAAGCGTTAAAAAAAGCGTCAGTTACAAATTCGAAAAATATGATCAATCAAGTTTTTAATTTACAATAAAGACAATGTACACGTATTATGTACTGAATTATGTATTAACCTTTTATTTTATGATGCGGAATAATAGCTTTGAAATGGAGGTTGTCATCTTAAAGCAGTTTAAGTAAGGAAGAAACAGTCACAGATGCTGACAGCAATTCGTTTTTAGTATTTGAGCATGAGAAGGATTCGAACGATGCAACTGCTAATCAGGAAGATGTGGTATAGTAATTTCATTGAGAATGTTTTTATCAAAGTCTGCCTATTTGTATCAGGGATATGTTCAAGATTGTATTTACCTTTTTTTTTGCGAATAGATTGTTCAATATACTCATGCACAGGAAATATTAACCGAATATATAAAATTACAAACTCATAAGCGAAAAAATGAAATTGATATTGAAAGGGATGTTTTATGTAAAAGGTAAAAAAAATTATAGGCGGTAAAGTTAAGAGAACATAAAAGCTCATGTGTATTTTCCATTTAGGCAAAAAAGCGAGACGAATAGTCCTAATGCAGAAAATCCGCAACTAAGAAACAATAGTGAAAAATCTTTCTCCGAGTCTCTTTCCTCCTCTGATGATAATAATAAAGAGCCTGAAGACGATGAAGAAATTAAATTTGATCTAACACATTTCGATAGAATTGCAACGTGAACAGATAGTTAAAGTATGTCACATGTCAAATACTGATTCCTTTATTCCTTGTATCTCATAGTTTTCTTCTATTTTTAGTGGGAAGTTGGTTGTATTAATATAACCGATAGATTTCGGCAGTATCAGAAAGATGTTTTTAAGAAGGCGCAGAGAGAGGGTTTAAAACATGGGAGTATTTACGAACTCTTGTAAGTATTCTAAATATATAACATTTGACTAGCACAATGACTATATTAAGATATATCAAACATCTCTTTTCCTCATTGTTTTCAGAGCTTTATCATCAATAATGTTGCCTGAGGATGAGTTCGATGAAACCGAATTACAGGGAGAAGACGACGATTATGATGTTGAAGAATTTGAAGGAATCGAAATTCAAGAAGAGGATTTATTAACAATGCAAGAACGCGAACGAGCTTTTGAAGAAGGCTTATTCAACGAAGAGTTGGCTCAAAATGATGATATAACAAAAGAGTTCCAGATAGGCTTAGATATGATGGATCAACTGACAGATGGCAACGAGAGTGACGCAGAAGATTCCGAGGAAAGCGAATCAGCTTCTTCAGAAGAGGAAGACGAGGATAGTTCTTTTGAAGATCGTGAGTTTTTTTAGTTAAATTTTATTTATTTAAATCATGATATGCCAATCAGCTTAAATTTCCATGTAGAGGAAGAATTGGATAAAATCTTTGAGAAGTATAGAACATTAATGTCGGAATTGTCGGAGTTGGACACTAATCTACAAAAAGAAGCAAAAAGATCTAGAAGTCGAGACAAATAGTATTATGAAGGTTTATTTTAATATCGAAAGATATTATTCATTGGTAATAAAACGTACCTCCAATGTTGATGCCAATTTATACGCGATTAATAAAAATAGGATCGATTTCTTAATCAAATTAACACGATAACCAAGGAATAGATCAGAAAAAGTCAGAATTAGCAAGCGCAGAACAGAGAGTATCTGATATTAAAGAGAAAATGGAATCAAAGGTTAAGGCGATCGAAGAAAAACTTGCAATAGAACGATCTCAGGGTGGTAAATCTGGAGAAGAATCTGAAAATGAAACTTCTGATGTCGAAGGTGGAGATGAGGATGACATGGAAAAAGATGATGAAAATGAGGAAAATAATGGCAATCAAGAAGCTCAAAGCATAAACAATTAATAAATAAATTTTCACTCTTCAGGCAGAGATTTTTAATGTAATGATAAACTGGATTTGCTTTGGAACTTTTTCGTTCATAAATATCTTAAAAAATGTTTTCGAATTTGAATTTTTATTATATTAATATTTAGATATTGATTGTTATAAATTATAGCATAAAAAATGATTACTTTTTGTAGTTACAAAAGTGGAACGTTTTCAGATCTTCTCTTATATTAAGAAACTTATAGCATATGAATCTTTACGCATTTATATGTATACAATGTATTTATTATGATTTTTATTAATTTACTTAACATTAATTTATTCATAATCTCTTAAACTAAGTAAATTTTAATATAAACTAAGTTTCGTTTCGATATTCAATTACTAAAAAGAAAAAAAAAACGAATTAATATTAACAAATATAATAAAATAAATATTTTAGAAAATAAAAAACACTTATCTATAAAAAAAAAAGGTTAAAATATAGTATAGGTAATACTATATTTTAACCAAAAAAATTTAACCAAAAAAAAAGTTACTTTCCTCTTCAAAAAAAAAAACCCCCCCCACAAATATTAAAAAAATAAAAAACCAAATGAAAATTATTTGATTTTTTCGCAATGTATAGACAGAGCCAACCAAAGAAATGCAAGCTCTAAAAGCAGTTTGCACGCCCTAGAAGCAGTTGACATCTCCTATAGCCACAATATGACCTGGTGACCGTGCTGTACATCACTGGCCCCATTAATGCCGTCTCTAAAGAAACAAAACCAATCCCTCATGCGGAATCAGTGGGCATCACAGGACTCGACGAAATAAACGGAATGGTGAAATAATAAGTCAAGTTAAATAAAAAAAAAAGTCGATAAAAATAAAATAAGTAACATTCGACTTTTTCGCAACATGCATAGACAAGGTACCAAGGTTGTATGCCGACTAACAATTAAAACCTGCTGGTCACGACGAACCCGGAAATACAAAGCTACGTGCCACTCGCCCATACATCATGGACTAGAAATGTGATACAGGGATGGGGGTTTTTTTATTACCAAGATTGCAAAGAAGGGACGAAAAAGAAAAGAGGCCTTTAGGTATAGAAAGAAAGGATTTCTTAGTAATAGAGTCAAAGAGGAAAGGTTGTTTTTTTTTTAAACATTAAACCTCACCTATTTATATTAGAGATAACGCGTTCGCTTGTATATTACGTAATCTTACACGTCTTACATATCTTATATGCAAAAGATTATACCCTATTTTCGGTTGCCACTCATACAGTGTCCTACTGGCGCATATGTAGTGAAATAGTCACGTAGTAAAAATTACGAATTTGCCGGTAGGGACACTGTACGAGTGGCGCAAGGATGACGCAAGGGGAGAAAAAAAAACTCTGCTAGTATAGATAGACTCAAGGGTGGCGCGTCACCACTGATGACATCACTTATACGTCAGTTAGGTTGCATGACGCGTCGCAGCTAGAGAAGACGCGTCTACACTACTATAAATAGTAGTGAATGACTAGTAAAATGAGTTTGTCCTCACAATTTCCTCAAGAATTTGATAACTTATCTAATTGTAATAAACCTACCTTAATTAGTGTCAGTCGCCCAAAGGATAATCTATAAGGCCACAAGAGACCTGTGGCACGATTATTGAGGATAAAGGCCAAGCAAATGAGGTAGTTTGAATCGGAAGATGACCCTCTAACAATTCGTAGCGTTACGCGAGTGCTGTCCCGGGTTAGCGACAGACTCGCCGTTTTCACCCCAACAATAGACACATACAATACAGCTTGTTTTTCGCGCATCAAGACAAGAAGAATGAACGAAAAAGGAAGATATCCAATCTAGAGGCATTTCTTGGTCTAAGAAATTATATTTCACAACTATATTTGATAATTATAATATCAAACAAATCGAAAAAAAAAAAAAAATGAGTCATACTAAAGAATTCCTTGGACACGAAAGTAAGTCATAAATAAATTTTGGCAAAGTTATTCTATATTAACTAATTTTTGGGATTTTATAGTAATTTTTTCGTATATAAAAAATAATAAAATTCATTCGTACCGCGGGTTCTTAAAAAAAAATAAAAAATCCGTTGAAATCCTCCTCCCATCTGTAGATTGTTGGAAAAAGTGTGATGTTTTCTGGTATCGAAGTTTTTTGAGTTGTGCGGAGACATTACTATCAGAAACAACACACAAAAGTTTAAGAGATGCGGTTTGTTTTTTCTTTATTTAAAAGGAGAATAAGTTATCGTCTTAACTAAAATTGATGATGCGTTATATACAGTAAGTTTGTAAGAATTTTATATATAGTCAAATGTTCTTTTAATTAATAGTTACCTTTTTTATATTAGGTTAATTCCGAGCGTTCACGATATATAAAAGAATTGGAAATTATATGGGAAGACATAATTAAGAAGCAAAAAAAAGTAAGTAATAATATAAAAAAAACTTATACTACATATTGGTACTATTATTAATTAATTTTAATATGCTTTATTATAGAATCGTGAAGCTTCGGAAAAAGAAAACCGAATACCTAGGTCTGCCGGTAAGTTATAATTTAGCTGTATGTATCGTTAATATTATACTACATTAAATAAGTTATTATTTTTTTTTAGTATCGGGGAAAAAAGAAAAAAAAATAGAGGCAGAACTATTATTGGTGGTACCTCCACGGATACGCTATCCTAAATTAAGGAAAAGCGCATCCACTACAAAGTCCACCGCTGCCCGAACTCCCGATCCGGTCAGAGGTTGGACTTCATTTCTAAATGAAGTCCGATCTTACAAATCTGATAATACTGCCAGGCAGTATAAAAGACCCAGGTTTCATCGATATCGTGGAGTAGACGATATTTCCAACGAGGAGGATGTACGACAGGCATTGTCTGTAAACATCCTAGAGAATCTGAATAGAATCACCACTTCACGCCAACCTCGAGAAAAACATAAGAGGATCTCTAGTGAGGATTTAGTTACCGGAGATCCTGACTTTATATACAAGCAGGATGGCAAATTGCTATTAGCAATTGAGGTGGGGTCTTACATTTAAAAAAGAAGGAATCACTTCCAGTGCAACACCCCCGGCATCTCCGTCGTCTAATAGTGATGATTCTTTAGAATCGGAATATGAACTCCCACTATATCGTTGAAACGAAAACGATAGACACGATCAACAATTCGAAAGAGAAGCACCGAATTCCTGGTACGATCGTGCGTCACGCAACGGAAATTTCCAAAATAAATATCGTTGAAACGAAAACGATAGGCACGATCAACAATTCGAAAGAGAAGCACCGAATTCTTGGTACGATCGTGCGTCACGCAACAGAAATTTCCAAATAAAAGACATGGGGGTGTTCTCCTTACCTTGCGATGAAACATTCCTACGGCACCTGTGCGTCACCTGTGCAGCACACCATGCAGGCGAATTTGTGTGAAATTTCCAGATCATGCGTTTTTTTTATTTAAGATAACATTAAGACTATTATAAACTGTTAAAATAAATTAGATTAATTATAGATATTAAAAATATTATTTTAAGACTATTTGACAAATAAGCTAAAAACAGTTAGATATACGTGCATTTATGGAGGGTGTGCATTTAGAGAGGTGATTTTTATTAAATGTTTTATGTACTTGGGACCAAACTTGACCGTGCATTTAGAGAGAGAAAACATAGTGCATTTAGAGAGGTTTTACTGTACTTGTATAATACATCCAATTTCCGGCACAGTTAATATTAAAGAAATAATTGAAAACGTACAAGCGGCATATACAGTATATCAAATAAAGAATTCTCTTATTATTTTTATTTTTATCTAAATTCAAGAAGTAACTTGGTCCATGCGGAATATCAATCATAGCTATAATTTTATTTGAAAAAAATGCTTGTGCAAATATAACTGATCTGACCATTCTGAGATTATGTATGGAATTTCTCGAATTTGGTTCCACATGTGTCTAGGAACTATCATGAAAATTATAATCTAAGCAAACGAAGATTCGTTAAATGAATGCTAAATAACACGTGCATCATTGAAGATGAATATTTATCAGTGACATAGCAGCCCGAGCTTTTATGTTTTAAGATATTCGCTAATGCCGCTAAATAATTCGAAGGGCGATTGACGAGAACATTGGTTCCCAGGTGACCGGATAAATAGGAGGCCAACTCTTCCGCGGAAAAGCCACTATATAAAAAAAATGAGATAATGCTTAAGAATGAGTGAATTAAAAGTCAATTAATAAGAAAAAATGTAACTACCGTTTATTGAAATCATATCTATCAGACTCTGAAATAGCCTAGGCAAAAGGATCAATATTAACGAGAAATGAAATACTGTCAGAGCGTTAAATTGAGCTATTTCAAAGTTGGAATCTGATGCAATCAATTCACCTATCTACCAGTTCCCCAAAATAAAAGTATGTATCAACAAGAAATAAAGTTAAAAGATAGAGACATTTCGCAAAGATATAGACTTACTTGCAATAAGCATATTGTAGCACAACATCAATGTCTCATTAATATTTCTTGACTTTCAGACATAAACTTCTTAAACTATAAACTATATGTATTACCTTAATCACGTCAGTAATATTTAAGGATAATATTAACGCGATAATGTATGTACTTAACTTTCATTTTTTATGGCACGTGTAGCCTGTTAACTCATAAAACAAGAACGAAGAGAAGTAGATAAAAAATACTGTATATTATAATCTTAAATATAAAGCATGGACATAAGAACGTGCCTAGTGAAACAAGTTGACTCTGCTTAATTGACCTGGCCGGTTACTTGGCTACATATTGGCCGCATATTTTTTTTACTATTTATGGTAATATGATTATTGTTTTAATTTGATCAACAAAAACGTTATCATAATTCGTTATAGATAGATATTTGGGTAATTCTTTTCGAAGGCGGACAGGGATTTTTCGGTCACTATAATTATGATCCTAAAATTTACATTGTGTATGTATTGTTTAAAAGTAGAGACCGAAAAAATCATATCTAGCATTTTTGTTGCCTTCAAAAATAATTACCCATTTATGATAATTATTTCTTTTATAAAATGTCAAGATATAAACAAAGTAAAAGGAAACCAGATTTTACTTTAGATAACAATAATATATCTACACAATTTGCATTCAAAGAATTTTCAAGTCCCTCTACTTCACCTTGTGAATCCTTTTCTTTACCTTTTTCACTTTCTTTTTCTCAATCATTTTCTTCTGCTTTGTTATCTTTAAACTTGCCCTTCTATTCAAAGTAACAACCTTCTATCTGTGTCTTACCAATAATTAAACATACACAATTAACTAATTGCAATGATAGTTGGGTATGGAATTATATGAATAAAGAAATTATTGATGGGTATAGATATTGTTAACAAGCTTTATGTAAATAGTGTTTTAAGGCTTCTTGTTCAACAACAAATATTGGAAGTCACTTAAGCAAAGTATATAGAATTTTTGCCATTAATAATTCTTTCAAGTCAACTATTGATCAAACTTAACAAATATCACAAATTCATCCATACAAATCTTTGAATAAATGATATCAAGACATTATGGCTAATCTTTTGCAATGGATTATTGACAATTTACAACCTTTCAATATAATTAATACTTCAATATTCATTAGTTTATGTGGGGCATTAGATAATAGATTTTCTGTATCATGCATTAATACAATAAAAACAAAATTAGGTAAATGTGTAATATTTGCAGAAGATCAATTATGTTATGAAATCAGCAATTTGATGAAAACTTGTAGCTTTACAACTGATTTTTGAATCCAATTTCATACTTTATATATTGATGTAACAATTCATTGGTTAACTTTAAATTTTGAACTTCATCAAGGTCTTTTAACAATCGAAGAATTTTCTTATAGACATTCTAGTGATAGAATTACTAAATTTCTTTATCAATTATTTGAAAAATAGAATATCATAGATAAAGTAATTGCAGAAATTAGTGATAATGCAAAAAATATAGTAATTGTATCACAATGATTTAATTATTAATATATCACCTGTTATACTTATACTCTTTAACTTGTGATTAATGAAAGTCTCAAAGGATATTATGAATTTATCGAAAAAGTTAAAGCATTAAATAATGCTTTACTTAATTATAACAAGTATCATGAAACTTTTTGATATGTACAATAACTAGTAAATAATGATATGCAATCAAATTCAAGAGTTCATGAACCTATTCGTAATATTAAAACAAGATGAAACAGTACTTATACTATATTATAACATCTTATTTTTCTTCAGAGTGCTATAACTTCTTTAGTTACAATTCTTAAAAAATGATTCTAGTTATATAGTTCGAAAAGATGTTGATAATTTAAAACCATTATTATTAGATAATAATGAATGGCTTATATTACAAAACTTATTAGATTTATTAAAACCATTTGTTCAAATTATAAAAATTATTAGTGGAAGCCAATATCTAACATTAAGCATGATATATCCAGCAATATTTAAACTCCAAATTCATCTTTCTAATTTCAAATCTCACAATAATTAAATTATTATAATAATCAAAACAAAAGATTATATAGAACAATAAATAAAAAAATGTTGGAATAATATTTTATTGATGGGCTTTTATTCTTCTTATTTCAATTCAAGTTTCAAAAATATAAAATTTGTAGACAAGAAAAAACAAATGAAAATTTTTGCAAAAATATAACAAACAATGGAAAATTTGAAAAATTTGAAAAATTTACTAAGTACAATATCTACAGTTGTTAGTTAAGATAGATTTTTTGATAATCTTTTTGATGAAAAAATTTTTTTTATATAAAATAAAATATAATTATATTCTATGGTATTACAAATTTCAATTCATTCTCTTAATAATTCAACATATATTACTGAAAATTCATTTATCTGATAAAAACTTTATAGTAAAATATTTCCTAATTATACTAAGTTGCATACAAATATTTAGTGATTCCTGCTTCTTCAGTTCCTTCTGAAAGATTATTTACAGATGTTAGTAATATGATTATAGAAAATGTAATTGATTAAATCCTAATTATATACATAATATTCTTTTTTAAAACATAATTTAAAACTTTTTAATATATATTCATATCTTGAAAGCATTGTATATAAATAGTGATAGAACTAAAAAAAAAAAATTAATAAAAAAAACATAATAAGTGACATTAAATAAATATAATAATAATAATATACTGTACAACATACTTTAATTATTAGTCAGGTCAACCTAGTTGACCAGTTTGGCTGGCTGATGAAGATCTGTCAGCTTGTTTCACTATTATATTATATGAAAAGCAAATAGTCAACAAATCATATAATATATCAAAAATATAATTTTATAATATGAATAATTTTATATAAATATTCTTTTTTTTTAATAAAATTTAAAATCAAAAATATTTAAACAAGTAAAAAAAACTTTGGCAAAAAAATCCTATAGAGAACAGTTTTCGTTATATTTGTAATCTTCTCAACCTTCACAATCTTTGCAATTTTCACAATCTTCACAACCTTTGCAACTTTCATAATTTTTATAATTTTTGTAATTTTGTAACCTTTACAATCTTTATGATCATGGCAACCTTCGTAATCATGACAATCTTCATAATTATAACAACCTTTACAATTATAACAATCTTTATAATCATAGCAACCTTTGCAATTATAGCAATCTTTACAATTATAGCAACCTTTAAAATTACAACAACCTTTGTAATTATGGCAATCTTTAAAATCTTTACAAGTTTCATTAGAAGTTTATAAAGTAAGGTCTTGTTTAATATCACCTGGTATAGAATCTCCATTAACTCTTACTTTAGTATAACAATTGATCAAAAAAAGACTATTTATCCAGTTTCTGTTTTCACTAGCATGAAAAGTTGATATAATAATTAAAAAAGATACAAAATTAAATTAAACCAAATTATTAAATAAATCTTATCTTTTACTAATTAACTAATTTATTTAGAAGTTCAAATTAAAAATTTGCAAACAAAAGTTGAAAAGCTAAAAAAAACAAAT